ACAAAAAAAAAAAAAAAAAAAAAAGTGGGGGGTGCTGGGAGTGTTTAAATCTTCCACAAGGATTAAAATTTATTTTCATTCACTCACTTGCGGTATCTGCAAGGAGATTTGACTGGTGTTCTTTCCAGTAATGTTCCCTGCAGTGAGCAGAGGCATTGAGAACTTTGGATCCTGGAGTACTGTTAAAACAGTAACTCCAGTAATTGTGTGTGGATCATGGAGGTGTTTGTTTTTTTTGTTTTTTGTTTCTAGGGTTTTTGTTTGTTTGTTTGTTTGTTTGTTTTTTGGTACCAGGGATTGAACTCAGGACCTTGCCCTTGGGAGTCAGGCGGCAACATCACTAAACTAAATCCCCAGCCCATAGGGTATTGTTGTTTATTTGCTTCCACCATACGTATTTTCAGTGTGTGAACCGACTCGGTCTGTCTCCGCTTCTCCTCTCTCAGCTGAGTCGAAGCTCTGATCACTGACATGTAGACTCCACGCCTCCTCTTCGCCTGGCTTTCTCCTCGTCCCACTCTCCGCCTCAGAATCCCCCTCACGTAAGGTACCATAGCGGTGGCGCCTGCAGGAGGCCACTTCTGGTGCTGTCCCATCCATGCTCCACACCCTGCCTGTCCCTGTCACTTTTCTCCTTCATCTCCTTGCAGCTCTTATTTTTCTGTACCTTGAGTAGTGAATTCAGTCCTTGGGTTTGCTAAACTGGCCTCGGGCCCTGGCAAAACTCGGTTGGTGGCCATGAGCAAGAGATGCCAGCATCTTGTGCTCGAGGAACCCACCTGGTGCTGGGTCCCTGAGCTGTGTGTTTACACCTGTTCCCCTCTCCCCCACTGGGTGCACACCTGTGACCCCTGAGCCTCACTCGTCCCCCAGGGCTCCATGAAAGGGCAAGCGAGACAACAAATACTAAAAAGATGAGAGGGAAAAAGAAAGGAAAAAAGGGAGGACAAGCAAACTAAAGTAATAGTTTAATAAAAATACACCCGGCAGCAGACAAATACTGCATGGTCACTTATCTGTGAAAGCTACAAAACCTCAGCTAGGCATAGTGGTACACCATAATCCAGTGCTCTGGGAGGCTGAGGCAGGAGGATTGCAAGGTTGACCCGAGCCTGGGCAACGTAGCGACTTAGTGAGACCATGTCTCCAAAAAGAAAAAAAAAGTTAAATTCATAGAAGCAAAGACTAGAATAATACTTACTGTATGGGGGGGCAGAAATCTTGGTGAACGTGCACAAAGTCTGCTATAAGATGAACAAGTGCCGCAAATGTCATGCACAGCATAGGTGTGATGGGTGTGTTAATTTGCTTGTTCTAATCATACAATATCCATATATCAAATCATCACAGGCACATTGATTATATACAGTCTTGCCAGTTAAATATTTTTAAAATAATAAATACAATATTAAGCAAAAAGTATATAGCAGTGATTTAGTTATTAGGAACTAAGCAGTTTGTCATGAAGCAAGAGAGGATGAAGGTCCTGAAAGACTCGAGTTGAATGTGGATGATTTGGAGTTGAATGAGAGCAACAGAAAAGAAAAGAAGGGCGCCTAGGGATTTAGCTCCGTGGTGCTGCCACCTGCCTGGCAAGCGCAAAGACCTGAGTTCCATTCCTGGTACCAAAAAAAAAAAAAAGGAAAGGAAAGGAAAGAAGGAAGAAAGAATGCACATTTATCGGGCACTGTTTTGACTGCTGGCCAAGTTAATATCTACAAGAAAATAGTAATTATCTTCTTTGTGCGGCTCTAAAACAGAAAGCTCACCGAAGCTTAATAATGGCTGAAAGTCTCAAATTAAATCTCGCTGCTCAGGAGGCTGTAGCATGAGGTTGGGGACTGGCCATGATTGAGTTCTGACGCATGCTCTCTTTATGTCTGCACCCCTTGTGTGTGTGTGTGTGTGTGTGTGTGTGTGTGTGTGTCAGTCACTGGACACTGAACCAGGGCCCTCACGCTGAGCCACATCCCCAGCCCTTTTTTGATTTTTGAGATGGGGGGTGGGGTGGGGTCTCTAAGTTGCCCAGGCTGGGCTCGAACTTGCATACCTCTTTGCTCAGGGTGCTGGGATGACAGGCGTACACTGCTCCACAGGGACACCACAAATTGCTGTCTCTCCTAGTAAGGGCACTAATACCATCAGACCAGGCCCCACCCTTCAAACTCATCTAACTTTAATTGCCTCTGGAAGGCCCCATCCTCTAATTCCATTGGGCCTTAGGGCTTCAAGGTAAGTATTTGAGAGGAGCACAAATATTCACTTCATAACAAAACCTCTTGGCTTGTATTCCCTTTTTATCTTTCCCCTACACACTTTGTGGTTTTGCTTTCTCTTCCTGCTCATGATCCTCGTTGCCTGGCAGCTCCCATCTGCTCTGCCTCATAAGGAGGGCCTCCCCCTGGCCTCCCCTGCCTCCCCCTGGCCTCCCCTGCCTCCCCCTGGCCTCCCCCTCCCTGTCTGTGGCCACCGAGAGCTCACTGAAAACCAGAGCTCTCTGAATTCCTAGGGGGCGCTCATTTCATTCCTGTCCATGCACGCTCACCTTTAAATGACTGAAGAAGTAATGGTTCTGAAATCATTCCCATTGCAAAGTTAGGTAGCATTCCACAGTACCATTTTCCCTTTTGGAGAAGAGATTGCTTTGTAAGGAAAAGCAGAACAGAATCTGCAGAGAGAGCTCTGCTGTCCAACAAGCCCCTGGGGAGCTGAGTCAGGGGAAGCTGTGTCACGTCCCACGTTTCTCCCGCAGGGCCCCACGGCTGCGCATGTCCAGCTGATTATGGAGCGGCTGCTGCGGAGGATCAACCGCACGGTGATCGGGATGAGCCGGCAGGGTCCCCACATTGTGAGTGTCTCTGCAGGACACCCTGCAGCCGCTGCTGCTTCCGTGTCCCATTTCCTCTGGGGGACCATTGGCCCCTTCATTTCGCAGTGTGCAGGGCACATGCTTGGGCAGATCTCAGTTGTGACGTGGGTCTGCTAGTCTGTGTTGTACAGCTTCCCTCACCAGAACCACGAGCCCCTTTATGTTCAAGGGAAAAAAGAAGACTGAAATTGCACGTGACAGCGCACACCTGTAGTGTCAGCACGCTGGGAGGCTGAGGCAGGAGACTGCTGAGTGAAGCAAAGAATGAGGAAAAGGTGTCTGAAGAAACACAGGGACAGTAAAAAAGACAAATACACAAAAAGGATATAAATAGCTGAATACAATTTTATCTGGTTAGCCAAGAATGGTTAAATATTAGTAACAAAATACATTAATTTACTAAGAGCATAAAAGCTTCATGATTTTTCTGTGGACACCAAAATGGTGTATGATAAGTGTAACATCTATTCTGAATTGATAAAGACATGGAAATTTCTTAACACGAAATCACAAGGAATCCTAATATAAAGGAGAATCAGGGTGCTCAATCTCATACCTTTGTTTAACATCTGTTATTTCTAACCAATTTAATAAAAAACAGGTGCTAGCTAAAACTGTTGATAATTATCATTCTGTGTAGCTGAAATATGACCAGCATTTTGAGGAAACTCAAGAGAGTTAACTGAAATTTTCATAAACCTAATGAACCATCTCTTAAACTAACTGATATGCAACTTTCTGTGTAACACTGGCATCTATTTAGACATTGTAATGAAAAATTCCATTTAACTGAGTTGCAAAAATGTGGGAGAAAAATAGGTAAGACTTAGGGCTGGGGACGTAGCTCAGTTGGTTAAGTACCTTATGAGGGAGCTGTGGGTTCAGTACCGGCAGTGCAAAAGCCAAAACCCAAGATTCAAAAAAATGAATTGCCAAATGGAAAGAATAATGAAGGGCTTACCTGAAAGATTGGAAAATAAAAATTAAACACATATTAGACACGTGCAATCTAATGCTTGTATCAACAGAATAGAACTGGGAAGATGAAAAGTCAACTCAATTATGTGAACATTTCTTTACCTTTAGTAAATTTTTGTAAAAATTTTGTTTGACTTATGTTATCCCTCCAAAATAAATGTCAAATGGGCTGAAAGATTTGGTGTAAAAAAATTAAATCAGAAAGAAGCTGGAAGAGATTGTAAATGAAAATGTATCTGATCTTACAAGAAAAGTGATTCTTAACCAGGCAGGATGGTTCGTGCCTGAGGCAAGTGGATTGCATGTCTGAGCTCAGCCTAGGCATCTAGTAAGACCCTGTCTGAAAATTCTAAAAGTCTGGGGGTATAGCCCATTGGATACAATCCCCAGTACCACAGAAAAAGAGATCAATTGGATTCAATCCCCAGTAAAACAAGAAAAAAGCAAAAGGATTCTTGAATTTCAGAGAATCGAAAAGGAAAAGTTAGGATTTTGCTTGATACAAAATTTAAACCCCCTACACGGGAAAGAAAATGCATATGCAAGTTAAATGTCAAGCACTGAACTGAAAAAATTATAACATATGTGGTAGGTGGCCAGTGGCTACAACTGCACTAAGCAGAAGACCCTTAATGTGCATAAACAGATGGCAAGTGGCCAAGTCTGACTCTATGCAGGCACTGCTGGAAGTGGTGGCACACACTGGTAATCCCAGCCCTTGAGGCTGAGGCAGGTGGGTCAAGAGTTCAAGGCCAGCCTCAGCTACACAGTGAGGGTCTGTCTCATAGCAAAACAAAAGTACACAAAGACACCCAGAGAAAGGCACTTAATATACAAAACACTAAGAAAAACATGTTATTTAGTAGAAAACTGAGTAAGGAACATGAGTGAAAAGCCAAATGAGCAAAATAAATAGCAAAGAAAAGCCAGAGATAACAAATGTGAGATTAAATCCAGAGAAGGCAAAACCCTAGAGAAACATATAATGTTAGACAATGGTATAAACACAAACTGTATGATAATCTGCAGTGCGTATCCAAAGCTTTACACTGCCATATAGAGGGAACATTTTTTTTTCAGCAAAAAAATGCAAGATGTGTTTGTTCAGAGAGGGGAGCACACGGGCAATCTTTCGTTGTGTGTGCGTTTAGGAAGACATTCCCACTCTCCCTACAGTAGCGGGACTTTCCTGTCCTCTGTGTCAGATTTATTTAAACGTGTAACATTTCCATTCCCACATGAATGCCAAGACAGTAGCGTCCTAGACACTCACCCTCTGGCTACATAGTAGTCTGACTTCAGTTTGCTTGAACTGACCTGTCCTAACCTTACTCATACAAACCATGGTAATGAAGTTACTCATTTTCTTTCGTCAAGCCTAGGGCACAATTCTGTGTGGCTCACATGCTGGGGACACTGGCCTAAAGGGTTGTAGAGTTGGCGGAGTCGTGTTCAAGTGTTCGGGCAGGGAGTTGGCATCACCCCTCCCCCCCCTTCTGCTCTCAGCATTGCTGCAGCTTGAGTAGCCTTTATTGAAAGTGCTCGGGACCACTGTGCTTCAGATTTTGGAGTTTTCTGGACTGAGGACTATTGGCAGACTTTACTAGTTGAGCTTCACTAATCTAAAACTACAAAATATTCCAAAACCACAATGCTCCAAAATTCAGTCCCTTGGAAGATTTCAGATTCCAGGTTTTCAAATTAGGGATGTTCCACTTGGACCTCTTGTTTTCACACTAGCTGTCCTCTACGTTCAGATTTGTGTAACTGATGTAAGTATTTCAGATGTTGCTTCATAAACTTGTTGCACCGCAACTCTGCCTCACTGTAAAGCTCAGAGCCTGCCTTGTGTTCGGTGGTGATCTAGTTTAGATCTCCACTTCAGTGTCCCTTGACCTGCAGGATGTCACAGACCATAGCTGCTAACGAGATACGGCTAAGCCTTCAGATTCCCTGACTCCATGGAATCGTAGGGCCCTTGCAGAGCTCACGGGGTGGGAAAAACCCAGAGTACATGGTGTCCAAGTCTTGGTCTTGCCTGTTGGTGGTCTGAGGAGTCTTGGGTCTGTGTTTCCGTCTTCCTTCCAGGGCGGCTTTGTGGCCTGCATGATCGCCATCCTGCGGCAGATGGACGACAGCCACTACAGCCACTACATCAGCACTTTCAAAACCAGGCAGGATATCATGGTAAGTTGCCTGCACTGGGTCCTGATAGCCTGAAGTCTTCTTATAGTTGGTCAAACAAACAAAAACACAGCTAAAGCAGAGCCTTCACATTCAGGGTTTTCTTCCTCCCCGCTTCCAGTGCTATATGGCTACATCCACAGTGGTTATGGGAAGGTGAGTTGATTCTTACTTTCCCTGCTCAATAGGGATTGAGGAAGCATTCAGTACACGCAGCACACGGCCACATCAAACTCCTATGTCTCGTGCGTTTAGAGAAAGCCCGCATTTAGAAACATCCAGGCGATCTTGCTTGCTCTGAGAAGAGCTAGTGTCTCGTGTGAAGGGACACTAGTTGCTTGTGCTCTGGAAAGGATTCTAGAAGAGAGGAGTGTGCAGTCTTCTAAGACGTGGTTGATCGCATCCTTCTGGAGAGGGAAACAAAAGGAGAAGCGTCTGTCCCTTTTAGTGTCTGTAAGCTGTCTTCAATTGTAACTACTCTCTCCCTCCCTCTTTTTTTAAGCTGGGAAGTTGTTCTTACAGTTACTGTTCCCTGCAGCTCCAGGGAATTGTTAGTGGAGTTCGCCTGTCCATGAACAGCATCTGAACTTGCACAACAGTGGCCTGGACGTGGGGCCAGATTAGCAAATTAAAACTATGTGGCATTAGGCCTTGCCTGAATGGCTTCTGTCACACATGCACATACTAATCTTCTTACGTGCTAGATTTTCTCCTTTCTGTGCATATTTCACCCAGGGCTGGTGGCCACTGAACCCAGGGATGTATATCTACTTCCTTACCCCCATCCTTATTTTGTGATGCCCAGGAGATGGACAAACAGTAGAGGAAGTGGAGAAAGTGCTGTTTATGGTAACAGACAGTCATGCTGTGTTGGCTCACATGGGGAGCCTGCTGTGGGGACCAGGGCCATAACTGGATGTGTCTACAGGTGCCAGGTCGCAGCAGGGAAGAGAGGGTGAGAGGCCAAGGCAGCCGTGTTTTCTCCTCCACAGCCAGACTATGTGGCCCATGAGAACACAGGTTTGAGTTCTGGCTCTTCTGCTTCCTGGTAGGAAATGTGGGGAAAGTTATTGAACCTCACCAAACCTTGGTTTCCTCATCTCTAACGCAGTGCCTACCTTCAAGATTTATGGGTATGAATTAAATTCAGTACCTGGGAAATGCCAAGCTTTGTGTTTGGCATGTAGCTAATGCCTGTTAAGAGTAGCTCTTGGTAATGATTTCACGATTATCCGAATCTAAGATGAAATTATAGTTAAGAGCATTGGCGGTGGTGGGTGACAGGAGGTCCCGGGTCCCTGCCTCACAAACTGAACTCTTGTTCATGTGAACAAGCATGTAAAGGGCCATTCGCGAGTGGGTGGGAGCCCTGAAAATGTGTGGTGGAATCGTCGTAAACTCTTGGAAGAGGTCTGATTTCAGAACTAAGGATGGATAAATCAGCTTGCTATTGAACCAAAAGGGCAAATCAGGGGCAGCACAGACTTTCCAGCCAGTTTGTTCCTATTCCAGTGCCCTCGGGCATCCAAAGTGCAAAAGTTAACAAACTGACCATGATCTCAAAAGAGGGTCATTGGAAATAGACCCAAGGCCCCCTGCCTCTCCAGCACCGTGTGCTGACTGCTACATGAGGTGCTTTGCAGGGCAGAACTGTGCAGGAGAAAGCAGGCTGGGTTCTGGGGACCCCAGTAGGAAATGCTGAAGTTTAGCTGCCTAATAAAAAGGTATACAGAGCTGGATGTGGTGGTGCAGGCCTACATCCCCCAGTGCTAGAAGAGGTTCAGGAGCTGTGTTGAGACAGTGCATGGTAGAACTAAAATAAAGGGTATAAACTTGGTGTCCGAAGCTCCAGCACTCATCCCAGCTCTCCTGCTACCTGGTTTCTATGACTTTAGGTGCATCTTTAGTTCCTGTCGGCCTCATTTGTACCATTTGTAAAATGTGGGTAATTCTTTGCCTTCATTTTCCTTGCAGCGTCATGCAACATAAACATCCAGTGCTATGATCATTCGCTGTACGCATGCTTCCCTGTGCACAGAAACCTTAGGAAAAGGGCCGTCACTGTGGGACTGGGACTGCGCTGAACCTGTTATAGGTCCTTCTGTCCACACACTGGGAGGAAGGCTGTAAATGGACTTGTTTTCCCCAGCGACTCCTCTTCTGTTCTCTGCAGGACTTCCTCATGGAGACTTTCATCATGTTTAAGGATCTGATTGGAAAGAATGTCTATGCCAAAGATTGGATGGTCATGAACATGACACAGAGCAGGTAGGACAGCACCGCCCAGCCCACAGGGGTAGCCTCTAAGAGCCACCGTCTGCTGTGTGCACTTTGGGAGTTGCTACTGACTCTGTGCCCCAAAGCCATCACATATAAGATAGGGTTCCCGCACTCCCATGAGCCTGTGGGCTTCGAGGTTGTTCCTCCCGGGGGTCTCTGCCCTCTTCAGTCCTGTTAGTGTTCTCGTCACTCCCATACGGGGTCCACACCAGCTCCACAGGGCTCCATGGGGCCTTCCCCTCCTGACATTCGAGGCCTCCCTCTTCTTCAGCCGCACCTCCCTCATTTCCCAGCGAGTGAGCTCCTGATCCCTGATCGCATGGGGCTGTGCGCCACCCCACGCTGCTGCTCCCCTGCTCCACCTTCCCCAGTCTCTGGCCGGCAGCCTTCCTCAGGCCCCCTCTTGGGGAAGCCTTCCTGCTCATCTGCTGCTCCTCTGGTTTTCCATGCACCTTTGAGATGGTCTCATAAAATCCTTTTCGTGATTTCTGTTGGATCACAGTTAATTTACAAGTTCTTGGTTTCCCCCAGCACAACATAAGCTTCTGAAAGCCAGCCTGGGGCTCTCGGTGCAGCACCTGAGCCACGGCTTGCCAGGACTGGTCCACAATTGCTTGTCAAACAGAGTGAAAGGAAACAAATACGCATTTGAGCCATGGAGTTTCCTTAATGAGCAGAACAGTGCAGAATCCTCATTACATGCAGTACAGTTAGCTTTACATGGCCCCATACCAGTCAGAAAAGCCATTCTCGGCTCTTAGAGAAGAAATTACATCAGCAGCCCCAGACTCTGGAAATCTCAGAGAGCGAATAGCCCCCCTCAGCCTGACCTGTAGCCTCGGCTCTGTCCTCTGCAGAGCTCAGTAGGGCTGTAGTCTGCAGGCTCTTCCGGCCAGTTCATGAAAGTGAACTCCTGGGCCTTGTCTGCTGGACTGCTGTCTCCCTGGTACGGTCTTTGCTGGTCAGTCCCAGAGGTGTTGCTCGCTCACTTCCTTTCCCCCCTCCCCACTGCAGTAAGGATGGAACCCAGGGCCTTCACACTGAGCTGCATCCCCAACCTGTTTTTATTTTTTATTTTAGACGGGGTCTCCCTAAGTCGTCATGTTGCCCAGGCTGGGCTGGGACTTAATGATCCTCCTTCCTCAGGCTCTCTGAGTGCTGGGATTGCAGGTGTGAGCCACTGTGCCAGACTTGGTTTCGTTTTTAACACAGTTGGGGACGCTCTCTCCAAGGGCACAGAGTTGCCTTCTTTATCCAGTGCTTTCCTCTCCAGGGTTTTTCTCCGCGCCATCAATCAGTTTGCTGAGGTTCTCACCAGATCCTTCATGGACCAGGCAAGCTTCGAGCTGCAGGTAGGAAGGGTCTGACCCACCCAGAGGTCCCTGGGTTTCTAGGTCAGCACAAAAGAGTTTTCCATGTGGGAGTCACCTCTGACCTCCTCACTGTCAGATAAAAAGATTTTCCTGTGTTTTCTCATTCCCGATAGCTTACATTCCTACCATGTCATCTTCCAGACAAAATAAAATAAGTTTTTTATCTTCTTTCCTTCAAGTAACATGTAAGAAGAAGTATAAAGAAGTGACCCTGTAGCAGAAAATGTAACTAAGATAAGTAAAAATTAGAAAACTGAAGCCAGGGGCCAGGGATTTAGCTCAGTGGTTCTGCTGCCTGCTTCACAAGCACAGGGTCCTGAGTTTGATCCCTGGTACAAAAACAAACAAATAAACAAATAAAATCTATTTTTAAAAATAAAAATAGAACCGTGACTTAAAAAAAAATAAACTGAAGCCAGTTTCAGTGGTGCCTACCTGGAATCCTACCTGGGAGGCTGAGGCAGAAGGACTGCACGTTCAAGGCCAGGCTGGGCAACTTAGTGAGACCTTGTCTCCCAAAATAAAATAAAAAGGACTGAGGGTGGAGCTCAGCATTAGAGCATTTCTCTAGCATGTGCAAGGGCCCAGGTTTAATTCTTAGTCTGCAAAAAATAAAAATGAAAAAAATAAAATCAAAATCCAAATACACCAGTCTCCCTTCTGTGCAGCGCGTTTGTTCCAGGACCAGCAGGGGATGCCAGATTAAAGTTATCATTTACAAATCTGGCCCAATAAGAAATAAAAAATAATAACTGATAAGGAAATAGAATAATCATAGTATAGTATAATTAAAGTTTTTATGCATATGGCCTGTCTTTCCTGAAGGAATCAGCATAGACTGGCATTTTCAGACCATAGTTGATTGCAAATAAACGAAACCTCAGAAAACAAAACCACATGGAGGGGGAAACCAAGGATTTAGCTTAGTGGTGCCACGCCTGCCTCAAGTGTAAAGTCCGGAGTTTGATCTCCGGTACCAAAAAAAAAAAAAAAAAAAAAAAAACCCGCACATAGAAGGGGACTGCTGTATTAATACCCTTGCTGTTGGCATTTTGGTGCTGATCCTGTGTCTGAGTGTGTGAGTGTTCATGAACATGTGAGCCTACATGGGCGTGTGCCTGGATAGTGCCTCTGCTTATTGAAGAGCAGTTCCTGTGCGTGCCGTTTGAAGGTCCATTGTATTTTGCAAACACAGATGACCCCTGGCTCCCTCTTCATTCCTTCCTCTGTGCACAAATATTAAAGAACATTTCCTTGCACAAAGCGCTCTTATCGCAGTGAAAGCACATCGGCTCCCTATCCTTGTGGACTCGCATTCCGCAGTGTGTTTTGTTCACACTGTACTAAATTCTGGGCCTTGTACCTTTGTGTGCAGCTGTAGAACTTTTAAATTGGGCAGCTCTGGGTAGAGGGCCCTGTACTGACGTCCCTGCTCCTTAGAGAGAGGTGTGTATGTGCGTCCCTATGTACGTGTGCACCCCCATGGCATTGAGCTGTGTAGTTCTTCCGTAGCTTGTTCATAATCTTTCTTTGTTATCGTTTTTTTTCTCGTACGGGGGATCGAACTCTGGTCCTTGCACTTGCGAAGCAGGCACCCGAACCACAGAGCTAAATCCCTGGCCCTCATCTCCTTTCTTTGTTTTTTCTATGGTCTATGTTTTTTTTTTTCAGTGGTGCCAAATATTTCCACAGTATTTTAAATTGGCGAATGCAGTCTCTTACGTGGCTGGACTATGATTTATTTAACCAAATTCTTCTTAAGAACATTTCGATAATCTCCATTTTCTCTGATATTAAATGGTACTGTGATGGCTTTCCTTGTTTTAAATATTTTTAACTAGCCACAGTTATTTTATCAGGGGAAAGTGCTGGAAGCATTTACTAGTTCAAAAGTTTGGCAGAACGTTAGAGTATTAAAGTACATATTGCCCGAGCACCTTCTATAAATAGGTACATGTCTTGGCAGCACTTTTTCTTTATCCTAGGGGAAAAGAAAAATGTAAAGTTTGAATTTTATAAATGCTTAAGGTTGAAACCCAAAACTTTTAGGACTAAGTGAAACCAAAGAAAGAACAAAAAGTCCTGTGGCTTTTATTTTCATTTTTTCACAGGTCCCTGGTTAGTGCCTTTCTACCATGTGGCTCTCTTTTGTTACGACTTATTAATGTTGTTTTCCATTTCTTTTTGCCCACACAATTCATTTTAAACAGCTCTGGAACAATTATTTCCATTTGGCAGTAGCATTTCTCACCCATGAGTCTCTTCAACTTGAAACCTTCTCCCAAGCCAAACGCAACAAAATTGTGAAAAAGTAAGTGTCCTTTTAAACTCCGTTAAGATTGGGAAGCTGATATGTCTGTTTATATTCAGAGCAGTGCTTTATGTGTGGCCGAAATTGCTGTTTGGTGACTACCTGTGTTGTCAGTGAGGTGGATCTTAATCACTTCATCGACCTAAACTTCCCTCAGTTTCACACTTTTTCTCAGTCTCATCCTTCCTCCCATCAGTCATCCGTACTTTTCTGGAAGCTACCTGGGGAGGCGCTGATTTGCCGCCTATGCCGGGAATGCCTGCCGTCTGCTGGCAGTTTGTGCAAATTGCAAGCTTAGTGCCTCCCTGTGGTTGACAAAGCTGGCTCCTTTGGTGGTCACCCTCCCTCAGGATCACTTCCACAGAAAAGCCCAAATTCCAACACAACCTGCAAACGCCTTGCACGTTTCTTGCCTTGAAATTCAAAGTGAAATTATGTGCAAGACTGAGGAGAAGTTAATGGATGTGTTCCATTCTGTTACCTCCAGATCTGTTTCAGAGTTAAGAGAAATATTCAAATGTGACTTTAAAAAATACTGGCTTTTGAAGACATTTGCAGAGAAAGAATTTGGAAAAAAAAAACCCACCCTATTTGGGGCAATTGTAGTGTGAGAAGAATAGTACAGATCAGTGACCATAAGATGGGCTGTAGACCTGATTTAAAGTATTATTGGGAACATTTGCAATACCCCCCCGTTTTGGTACCAGGGGTCAAATTCAGGACCTTACGCTTACAAGGCAGGCACAGTACCACTGAGCTAAATCCCTTGCCCCATGTAATGTCCACTTTTGATCCACCTAAATTCCAGTTTCTCAGCTCCCAGTCCCAAATGTGCTGTGTTGTGTGGGTTAGACGTAAGAATCCTTTAAGAGATTTGTCAAGCCATCTAACTTACCTCCAGTCAGAAATCATTGCCTCCTAGACCATTATTTCTTGACTAATGCAGCTCTAATAAGGAAATTTTTTAGACATTATTTTCCTAATCACTCCCCCATGAACTTTCAGTACCACTGATAAACTGTGTATCTGTTGATGTGCTGTGTGAATATCTGCTGTCCACATAAAAACAGCCAGCCACAGTGGGGCACACCCTGGGAGGATAAGGCAGGGGGATTGAAAGTTTAAGCCCAGCCTGGACAGTTTACTAACTCTGTGTTATTCTGTCTCAGAATAAAACAATTTAAGAGCCAGGGATGTAGCTGTGCAAAGGCCCTGAGTTCAGTCCCGAGTACCACAAAAATAAATGAATGGGTAAACGAACAAATGGATGAGTACATAATAAAAAAGAGTAAGCTTTGTTTCTGCCCCGAAGGACCTATTTTATTGTCCCCATCTAGAATGCCTGGTCTAGAGCCGTGGTGGGGGAACCAATGACACGTGCCTCACATGGCTCTTCATCCCTGAACGCTCTGAGAGGTTTGCTGTCATCAGTCTAGAGCTTTCCAGTGCGAGAACGCTGAGAAACGGGCTAGTGTGGATGTGCATTCCCCAAGTCTGAGTACGAGTACAGAATGTTGGTGTGTGTTGGCCGTGGGGCTCAGTACTGTATAAGCCACACCTGGATCATCTTCCTTTTCCTTCTGTCTCATCATTTAAGCTCATCTGCTATGATTTCTCAGCATTTCCACTTTGTCCCCTCTGCTGTTCACATCCCCCGGTTGATGCCTGATAAGGTCCTGACCTCTTTTCCTCTGCCTTACACGTGACCCTGAGGGACATGGGCTGCTTTTACTTCCTTCGTCATCAAAGACTTGGCTGTATGTTTCTGCAAGTTCTGCATATTCCGACAAACGGATCGGAAATACTTGGGGGTGGATTACACCTCTACTGAACATGTAGAGACTTTCTCTCTTGACATTGTTCTCTAACCAGTCCATCACAGCAAGCACTTAGGTAGCTTCACACTGCACATGGTGCCCTAAGTAGTTTAGAGAGAATTTAAAGTATGTGGAAAGATGTGTGGGGTTATGGGAAAATCCTATGCCATTTCATATAAAGCACTCAGATATTATAGATTTGGGTATCACAGGGGCCGAGTCCCCCCAGATACCCAGTGACAGCTGTATTGCATCTGGCTCAGTTCCACTGCAAACCCTTTCCTTGGTTTATGATCTTCTTCCTAGATATGGGGACATGAGAAAGGAAATCGGCTTTAGAATCCGGGACATGTGGTATAACCTGGGTGAGTGTCTGACCTTGAAGAGGCCCCAGCACAACCCCTGTGTGATGAGCACCCCACAGTGTCCTGTTCTCGTTCGTGTCCGGAAGAGAAAGTTGCTTTGTGGCTTCCACACCCTCATCCCAGCTGGGATGCTGACAGTGAGCCGCCTGTCCCTGTGGCATCTCCACATCCGCAGAATGTGGTATTTCCTCACTCACTTCTGGCTGAGGTGGTTTTACCCACAGAGACCTTTTCTTACGGGGTCTGAGCAGGAAGATTGCAGCACTTTCCTTACGGTGACGTGAGTTTTAAATATTTTCCTTTACTTTGATTTCAGGTCCCCACAAAATCAAATTCATCCCATCCATGGTGGGTCCCATCCTGGAGGTCACTCTGACCCCAGAAGGGGAGCTCCGGAGAGCCACCATCCCCATTTTCTTTGACATGATGCAGTGCGAGTTCAATTTCAGTGGAAACGGCGATTTCCATATGGTAAGGAGTGGTGAACCCTGTACTCTTCTTATTCATGCCCGTGTAGCCAACTCTTCCTTATTTTCTTCTCTGTAGAGAGAAGCAGTCACCTGAATAATACAGATCAAAGTTGATGTTAAAAGTTCCCTTTTACATTTCATTTTGTAAAGCAATTAAGAGATATACTCAGATATTCCAGCCCAGAGCCTGGAAGTGATCTTTTTGCTCCACGTTTTTCTATAGCGGCTCTGTCTACAGATGAAGGACAGGGACTGTGTACTTTTGATCCCATCTGCTGCATTTAGCAGGGAATTGAGAGAAGGAACCTGTCCGCTAGAGGAAACTGAGGAAGGGTGGAATGGATCCAGCTCTGATCTGTCACTTTCCAGCTTTGAGGACTTCGGTCTGCCTGAATTTTCTCTGTGCCTCAGTTTCCTTGTCTACAAAGGGCACTCGTCCTGAGATGATTTTGTAGCTATGAAGCTCAGTGAAAGCAATCCCATTGCTAAGACTGAGACAAGAGACAGAAACAATAACAGCAAATTAAATCATGAAGCTACTTTTATATGCATAGTTCCAACAGAAAGTAATATTTCAGGTTTGTTGTTGGGCTGGGTTCTTGCAAAGACAAAGCAAAGGGCAGAGTCAAAGCAGATCGCTGCAGAGCATTTTCTACAGGGCCTTGGTGCACTGGCCTGGAGTGACGGAAAGTGGGCTCTTCCCCCGTGTGTGTTGTAAAAAGTTCACAGTTGGGTGGAGGGGTTGGACTAGACCTGGAAAGACTGGGTGGGTGTCTCCCCTATCCTCCGCTAAGGAGGCAGCGTCTGCCTGGCCTGTGAAATCCTTACTCTGCTTGCAGTTTGAGAATGAGTTGATCACAAAGCTGGACCAAGAGGTGGAAGGAGGCCGAGGAGATGAACAGTACAAGGTCCTTCTGGAGAAGCTGTGAGTACCTGAGAGACAGGCCCAAGGTGGCGGGATCCTTGAGCAGTGGGGAGGGAGGGGAGCACAGCAGGCAGGAGGCCTCAGGGTCCCCACATCCTCTGCTGGGCTGGTGGGCTTTGCAGCACCCGCCACTGATGCTCTTTGGCTGGGGTGAGTCAGACGCCTGTGTTTTCCTGGCCCCCGGGCCCTGGAGGACCAGCCAGATGGAGAAGAGGAGGCGTGCAGAGCAGTGGCATTTTGCCCAGTGTTTGAATTTCTGAACTTCAGCAAGAGTGTTAGCACCTCTAATTATGGCTTCAAAGCAACAGTTAAAGGAAAACATTCCAAGGTCCACTTTGTATTTAAAAATACCTCATGTCCCATAAAAGACCTCTAAGAACAAAGCAGTTCTGTCTCCAGCCCGCTGCTCTTCACACTGCCCTGTCCCCCGCCCAGTGCCCCTGCTTCCACTCCTCCGCCTCCGCTCCCTCCCCAGCGCCGCTCCCTTCTCCCCTGCACCTGTCCCAGAAGGAGAAAGGGAGGATACGTGGCTCAGAACCCACTGCAAGTTGGTGTGAGAGAGAGACCGAGCGCCGACTCGAGTTTTCCCACATAACAGGAGTCTGAGTTTGCATCCAGCGATTCCACCTACCCAGCACGTTCTGTTTCTCCATCTTCAAGGACAGTATCTACTCCTAATATCAATGTTAGGATTAAATGAGATGATGCTCCATCCAGCATAGGATACTTTGCAGCTCATGCTTTAAAAAACGTTGGTTTCTCTGTTGTTATTCTTTACAAATCTCCCATCATTCACTGGGAGCGTAAGGACTCTAGGTCCCATCTCTTGGGTGCTCTGAGCTTTTAAATATTGACCGGCTGTACCATCCTCCCAGCATTCATCTGGTTCTTTCTGTCATTCACCTGATTTGTGGACTAAACTGAGCTTGAGGACAGGGACTCCCGAGGTTTGTTTTGCTTCGGTTTTTGTTTTTCTAAGAAACCACCCTTCTAAATACTCAAAAGTACAATGGAACTGATGAAGAGCCTCTATTTGACAGAACCTGAAGTCTTTGTGACTTTGTTTTTAATGGCGTTACGCCCTTTTATAGTGAGGTTTTTATCCTGTTTGACCTTCAGACCTCCAGTTTATGATGAAAGCTGTTCTGATTCCATGTGGAATTAAATAGGCAACTCACGCGAGTATAGAGACACATGCAATGTTTACACCTGATAAATTCCTTGTTTTTTCTAATGTTTATATTTTATTTTATTTTATTTATTTATTTATTTATTGGTACCAGGGATCGAACTCGGGCCCTTGTGCTTGCGAGGCAGACTGTGGAACCACTGAGCCAAAACTCCAGCTAAATTCGTTTTTGAAAACTTTTACAGCTTATTTTTCATGTCAAGACCTTTTTTCTCTTTGTTTTTTGTTTGTTTGTTTTGTTTTTGTTTTTGGATCACTGGTTCAGAAAAGTGTGACTGCACAAAACTCCAAAGCCAGGAATAACCCTAGAGCCAGTATTCTGTGGACCTAGTTCTTTCTCTTTTTTCTTCTTCTTCTCAAGTTTTCTTTCATTTCTTCACCCTAAGAAGCTCCAGTACTCCGCCCCACAAAGTTCTTCTATATCGACCCAAAGGGAGAGGATTAGACCACAAGTTTAACCCCGGTCCACTTATTTATAACTCTGCATTTCTATCTTTAAAAAGAAAGGTCTTTTTAGGGCCAAAGGTGTAACTCAGTGGTGCTGCACCTGTCTTGCAAGAGCAAAGTCCTTGAGTTCAATCCCTGGTACAGGGAATAAAAAGTCAGTCTTCTTGTAAGAACCACATGTCTCGATGACCACCAGTTTCCTCTGGACTTTCTACCAGCCCAGGCTTCCCAGAATGCCCATGAGATGCCAGGCTTCACAGAGAACAGAGGCACAGGAAAGATGGTATTACACAGTCCGGTTACAGTGACCAGGCAGCCTGCTGAGCTTTGTAGACAAAGGTCCTTATTTCTGTGGTACCCACTGAAGAAACCACAAATGCAAACTGACGTTCACAGAGGAACACAGCGGGCTAGGAGTTGAGCCAAGTCCTAATAAAAATGTAGGCACTTGGGGAATAGAGAGGCACAGCCTAAGGGAAGGCACCAAGACGGAGCAGTTCTGTAGAGGGTGAGGTCATCCCTCTGACTTCCTGTGTCCTGGAGTCTCATGCCACCTGCTGCAGGGACTTTGGTTTGGTGCCCACAAATGATCCTGAAAGTTACTTGTCTATCCCAACCCCCTCCAGGCTCCTAGAACATTGCCGGAAACATAAGTACCTCTCCAGCTCTGGGGAAGTCTTTGCCCTCCTGGTCAGCAGCCTCTTGGAGAACCTGTTGGATTACAGAACCATCGTCACGCAGGACGAGAGCAAGGAGAACCGTATGAGCTGCACCGTGAATGTGCTGGTAGGTGCCCACCCCGGGATGGCAGAAAGGCACCACCAGGCCACCCTGCTGCCCACAGCACAGCTAGATCCATCTCATGGGCGAACAGGCTCCCTGGGTCACCTTTCCTGCTAAATTGTGTGGCAGTGGCCAACTCAGCCGTGGACTCATAGATGCCAGCAGGTGCAGGGAAAGAAACATGCAGCGTAAGCACCCAATTTAACCCTTCCAAAGACCATCCTTAGCCTGCGCCTCTGTTTTCCTAATAACGCAGTGGTTGCTTTACTGCTGGGATTACAGGAGACAGAACCCCTGTACCACACCTCCTTCCTGATTCCCTGGGATAACAGTGTATCATCGACTTCAGGGTGAGCTTGGAGTCTGGAAGCGTGGTCCTTTAGAAAAGTCCTTAACTTACCTTCTGTATAACCCATCACTGTCGTGTCTCTGGGAATGTGGCAAAGGAAATGATGAACTCTTTGACTCTTTGGGAAAGACATTACTGAAAGCTGTTTTTTGTTAGCCTTTAAATTGCATTGGTTTTGTTGTTGTTGTTTTTTGGGTTTTTTTTTTTTTCCAGAATTTTTATAAAGAAAAGAAGCGAGAAGACATATACATCAGGTAAGATGAAGGAGACAAGTGCTTTTGCTATTGATGTCATGGCTTTGTGATTTAGTCCCTCGACAACAAGCACCATGTTGTGATGCTGTTTGCTGTTTTGAGCAAACAATCTCTACAAAAATAGAATCTCTACAAAAATAGACTCACAGAAAGAAACACAAATAACTAAATTTGAGTGGGAGCCTAAGTCAGGCTCTGGTAGGGTTGAAGGAGAGATAGGAGACTTCTGCCCAGTAACCGGGAAAGGCCCACAGGGAACGGGGCGTAAGAATGCACCTGCCTTTGGAGGCTTGGCCCCGGGCCCTGGATCCCTGAAGAAGAAACACATGGGTACCTAAATTATGCATGCTCTTGGGGCAGGATTCTGTAACTTTCATCTGCTTCCCGAAGAGGCCCAAGACCTGAAACAGCTAAGTACCACTCACTGCCCAAAGGGAGAGGAGAAGGAAGAATAAATGGAGTAGCAAAATCACTGGGTGAAAAGCAGCTTAAGAGGTATAAGAGGTGGGGAGTGACTGACTTGTTTGCCCAAAAAAAAGTGTTCCCGAGCAGGCTTAGAGGAGCAGGCGGAGCGGCAGGCCAGGCCCTGGTCCGGGCAGGAGCTAAATGCTAGATCCACCTGCAGGTTGACAAAATGCTTCTGATCTCCCCCCTCCACCAGATATTTGTACAAGCTTCGCGATCTGCACCGAGACTGTGAGAACTACACAGAAGCTGCCTACACACTCCTCCTACACGCCGAGCTCCTGCAGGTAGGGTTCGGCGAGCCTGTCTGGAGCCAGTGCCAAGCCAGGTGCCAAGTCCTGACCCTGTCATACCACATTCTGGGCCTTGCATGACTTGGAAGACAAAGTACCTTACGCAAGGGAGGGCCTTGATCTAATGCCATTTTTATACCTTCTGAATGAGTGTAGCTCCCTTTCAGACTAAGGCTGGGGAAATGTCATTTATCATGTATTTGAAAAACCTTAGAAGCAGAGCACAGCTATGAGATGTCTGGCAGTGGACATTCTAATTAAAGAAAAGAAAGAAAACACGCTGATCCATATATAAAGAGATATGTAAAACTGCAGAGATGAATTATGAATTATTAAAGTACCATAGAAGTACTTTTCTATTTATACTCTCCCCTAAGTGAAATTATATTGTGGCATCCCAAATTTCCAATCATTATTTCCAGCCCTGGTCTCTCTCTAACTTTGGATTTATGCACCAGCTTTTGATGTCTGTCTTTGAATGACTAAGACATATCAATTTCAGAGCTCTTTATTTCCCCCTTTTCTGCCCCTTCCCAGCCTGTGCCTACCTCCTTTTCCTTTCCTTTTTTTGGTGGGGGAGGTACTGGGAATTGAACCCAGGACCTTGTGCTTTCCAGGCAGGTGGTGGAACCACTGAGCTAAATCCCCAGCCCTCCTACCTCCTTTTTCTTACCATGCCACTAATGGTGCCACCCTCTGTGCAGCTGCTCAGGCAGTGCCCTCAGAGGCATCTTTGATTCTTTTCTTCTTGTCACTGCCTTTCATATTTTCCGGGAATAATTTAGGGATTCAATGAGCCCCAAATTCCCATTAATCTGCCCACTTTTTCTTCCTTGATGCCCCCTCACCTAGGCCACCAGTAGTCTCCCTTTGAGAACTACAGTGGCCTTCTGTGAGACCTCTTGGCCTCCATTCTTATCCCCGGCACTTAATTTTCTTCTATAATTTAATTAACTGGTTATTTTATGGTGCTAGGAATCAAACCAAGAGCCTCAAGCATACTAGACAAGCTTTCTTCCACTGAGCTAGTTTTATTTTATACTAAAGTAATGCCACATGCATTGTTCTAAGCTAGGAAACAAAGGAGTTCCCTGCCTTGTATCTCCCAGAGGAAATTCGTGGAAATCATACTGAAGATCAGGACACTAGGGAGCGAACCGAACATGGGTCAGTGGTGAGGGTTGTTGACTGGATTTCATCATAGTTTGGTCCAGAAGAAACCCTGCTGTCTCTAACCATAGGTGTCTTCATTTGGGCTGCTCAGAAAGTTAAGCTCTCCTATCCTGTGTAAGATGAGAGGTGTTGATGCAGCTTTTTTCCCAAATAGCTACCTGAAAGAGATGACATTTTAAAGTATAGCCCACATTTTCCTTGCTGACCTGAGATCCTAGCTTATCACATAGGAAATCCCTATTTTGGAGGTGGTTCTATATATGTTTACACAGGCCTCTCTCTATTCATGAACCAGCACCATCCGGTTTTGTTTTATTTTGTTTCTTTTGTGTTTGTTTTTTTGTTTTTTGAGACAGGGTCTCACTGTGTAGTTGAGACTGATCTGGAACTCACTGTGTAGCCCAGGCTGGTCTGGAACTCACAGTGATCCACAACGATCCTCCTGCCTCAGCCTCCCAAGTGCTGGGATTACAGGTGTGAACCACCACACCCAGCTAGCACCATACTGTTTCAATGATTCATTCTTTAGAGTATGTTTTATCATCTGCTTTTTTCCTCTAGTTTTTCTTCCTGTTCTTGTTTATTTTTCTATTTGAACTTCAAAATTGTGAAATTTATAAATTCCTTTAGTGTTTATGAAATAGTTTTCTTACCAAAAGCATAATTTGACTTCCCCTGTGTTCGGGTCTGCTCTTTTGCCCTTCGGTGATAGGTTTAGGCTACTTTTCATGTTAGCTTTTCGTAAGCCTTGTGAGGTTGACTCTAGTTTATCTTGTCTGTTGCAGTTTCTTTTAGGTTGGGCATTTTCTTCTATTCTATGTGCTTATCTTACATCTGAAATCCATTTTCACTTGATCTTAGCCAAAAGGCCGAGAAGCGATTGAAATCCATTTTCAAATCTGTTACTCTGTTGTGCAGCTGCCTAGCTCTCCTACTGTGTGTACCAGTTTGTCAGTGGATGGCTTTGTGCTGTGAGAGAAGTATAACCGTGATTGCAAACAGGCATAGATTTACCTCTTCCTACCCGTATTTACAGTCCCAACTTGTGGATTTCAGTGGGTTGTGTTAAGGGCTCCATCTTGACACTAGGCACATTGCCTAGCAGTTTCCCGTTAGCTCTTTATTATCCTGGGAATTTTGGAGCTAGTATGGGATATGTGTGTGTGTGTGTGTGTGTGTGTGTGTGTGTGTGTGCAACTTTTTCATTTAGTAAAGAATTTAAGTCACAATATGGTTGAGTCAAATATAGATGCACATATATGTATTTCACTGGTTTTTTGGTCATACATATCGGTTGCATTATCTTCTAGTTAGGAAATCTGATGCACTGATTGCTTGTGTTTCTTTTGTCCTCTTTAGTGGTCTGACAAGCCCTGTATGCCCCATTTGCTGCAAAGGGACAGTTACTATGTTTATACCCAGCAAGAACTGAAAGAGAAGCTGTACCAAGAAATCATATCGTATTTTGACAAAGGCAAAGTGAGTGTTGGTTTCTGTTTGTAGTCGATGCTGTTCCAATGCTGACCACCCATTCAGAGTTAGTGAACCATACGCATTCAAACCTCTCTCACTTCTGATGAGATCTCCAGACCACCCGTCCTTCTGACCAATGGGCTATAAATCTGGGGGTACTCGTGACCCCCAAGAAGCAGTAACAGAACACAGAAGCATGCTGTCTTGAACAGTTACAGTTTTTAGTGTCAGGGACTCAAATCAGAACCAGCCAAATGAAGAGGCACAGAAGGCCAGGTCTAGAAGGGCCGCAGACATAGAGGTCTTGTCCCTTGAACTCAGGCACATCCCTTTCCTGGCATATTGAGATCTGCACCAGGCAGTGTGTCCTGGCCACTCAGGAGGCTGAGGCAGGAGTATCACTTAAGGTAAGGAATTGGAGAGCAGCTGGGACAACATAGTAAGACTCTCAACTCATTAAAAAAAAGTGTCTGTTGCATAGACGTGATTGATTGAATTATCGGCTGCGTGACTGAACTCAGTCTCCAACCCTCTGCCCCTCCCTAGAGTAGGGCTGACAGCAAGTGAGCTGCAACTTCCTGATTACCTGGCAGGTGTTTCTGGCCAGGCCAGCCCCCTTCGGAGACTCCTAAATAAACTTAGATGGAGCCCATCCTAGGCACCTCATTAGTGCAGACTAGTGCGGTGCTAGGAGCCCACCTGGTATAACAGAGACACTCGTGTCCCTGGATGAACTCCAAGAGCTTCTTCCCAAAAGCTCGGGGCAAAGACCAGGCCAGCTCTTAATTGTGCAGCAGTTACTCACGACTTTTTATCTTCCCCTGGTGCATCTTTGAATTTGGGTATATTCTTCTATGAGTGAGCAAATGAATAGATACATTGGGGTGTGAGAGGCAGTGAAGATACCTTGAGGAGACTTCAGTGAAGAATGGAAGGGGAAGGCCACAGCCCCATGTTTTCATAACCCGAATTTCCTTTTAAATTTCGCCGGGGGCCAGGAGCATCACTCGCTGTGCTTTCTCCAGAGATTGTTAGTAGAAGCGTAGCCCTCACCTCATTCCCAAGTCACCCCGACCCGACACCAGTGGTTGGAGGTGGCAGGCAGCTTAAATGGCTTCAGGAGCAAGAAGGTAAAATAAACGTGGAAACCGAGCCAGGAAGTCGTGGCATCTGGGGAAGCATGTCCAGTAGAAAGGCTTTTACAGATGCAAAAACCAAGTCAGAGGGTTGGGAGAGAAGAAAGAAAACAGACCTCACATTCAGCCTAGATAGCTCTTGTGAGTGGTCTCTTCCAGCCCTTTTATCTGTGTTATTAGTAGAATCTGTTTAGCTAAATTACTGAGTAGTAAATAAGGTAAATAATCATCGTAATAAAGTAATTAACATCTATTTAGTGCTAATTACTGTTTTGTATGACTTTCAGGCCCCCCCAATTCTTCCTATAACCCTAATAGGTAGATACTGTCCCTGTTTCATATGTAAAGAACTTGAGGCCTAGCTAGTAGGTATATTTGTTCGAACATTTTTGTTTCTGAACCTTTTGTCCTCTTAAAGAATTACTGAGGATCTCAAAGCACTTTTGTTCATATGGGTTTATACTCTTAGAAATAAAGGCAGAAAATTGTAAATATTTACTTGCCAGTTCTTTTAACAACAACAAACCTATTACCTGTTAACATAGATCATATGTGTTTCTGAGAAATTACAGTATCTACCAGAGGATTGCTAATGTCAGTGGCATTCATTTTGCAAACCTTTATGACTTCTAGGTTAGTGGAGGCACAGGATTCTCTTACCTGCTTCTGTCTTCATTCCACTGTGGTATTACTCATGGCGTGTCCTCCGAGATGATCATGAAGAAAAAGTGATACTAGTATTATTACGAGAATAGTTTGGATCCCATGGCTCCCTGAAAGGGTCTTGAGGGCCCTCACCAACCTGACACTCAGACAGCTTGAAGTATTTTGTCTTGAGGATGCTAGGCCAGTAAAGTCTATGCAGATGGCCCAAACCAAAATACCCTGAGATCTGAAGCCCTTCGGACCCAGGCATTTGGGAAGAGGGGTGCTCAGACTGAAGTATCCTTGCGGCCAGGAGAGAAAGGTTTTGTTGACTCGAGGGCTGTCAGGAAGACCCTCAGACTCAGCCCACCCGACTGCTGCCTGGGGCCCAGCGGCCGTTCTGTCCACCCAGCTTCACCTTGCTTTCCTTTCTCTGAAGATGTGGGAGAAGGCCATCAAGTTGAGCAAGGAGTTGGCCGAGAACTACGAGAGCAAGATGTTTGACTATGAGGGCCTTGGCAGCCTCCTGGTGAGTCCGGGCCCACTGGGGTGCTGGGATGGACGCTCAAGAAGATGTTCTTTTGGGGATCGAGGAAAATCAGGATCAATGCTGCTCTTCCCAGCACAGGAATAAGCTTGCTTTGAGCCCGGGATTTAGCTCAGTGCTTCGGTGGCCTGCCTTGCAAGCGCAAGGACCCGAGTTCAATCCCCCGTACCAAAAAA